AATCATGCGAAAAGCGATTTGGTCTCAATAACGTTGATATTTGCATACAAAAAACTAAGTATGCAACTGGATCGACGTTCACAGATAATATTAATTCATCTATAGCATATAATACCATACATACAGTATTGCAAAGTATCATCATACTCGGTTTTTACTCAGTTTACGACAGCTACCTTTCTTGCTGTAAAAAAATTGATCCATTGTCATTATTCTTCCACAGACGAAACAGATACTAAGAGCGAAGAACATTTCAGACTGACATTGACACACGCGTGAAATGTTTTTCTTTGTTTAGTATTGATTTTATAATGAATAGCCATATATGGAAAATTAATGGGACATTTAAAGAATATAGAAAGAAAGTTAAATCGTAGAAAACATTCTTCCGTGACAATATGCGATGAAGTTTAGAAATTTGTTATGAGAAATATACATTATGTTGAAAATATATGATTATAATTAAGAACTCGATGGCAGCTACGATGAGAAATTGATAAATGATACTTGAAACTATAATTCGTTCAGTAATTTGTATTGATTATCATTATAGTGTGCACATCTCTTTAAAAATCGTGATTAACATGTGTCATAAACTCGATTGCAAGTTATTTGGTTAATATTTACTTTCAAAAGCAATTGTAATCCTGTACTTTGAATGTATCACTCCGTATGCTGAAAGACTTGCTTTCTAGTTTCAATTAATTATACTCTTAATTTTACTGTTTATTAGTATCTGTCGTCATTACCGTCCTGTGTTATAGCGAAGTATCATTTTTATTCTAAAAATTTAAGGAACATCTTTGTAACACTGCCAATAAATATTTTAGTTGAAGAATGAGAATACTTTTTCAAACGTTTCTATGTACCAATAGCGTATTTAATCGAAGTGCATTCAAAGGATAATATACATGTACGAGATATTTCAAATACATGTTAATCTTTTAATAAAACTTATGCAATTTTATTGACAGTGCGTTATTGTAACTCCGACACATTAATATATATATATATATATATATTTAATTAAAAAGAAAAAAAGCATTTATTGATAAAAACGTTTCTCGTAAGCTTTAAACCATTTCTCAAGCTTTGGCGGACACTTTGGAAAGATTTGTTTAATTGTACTCCATACTGCGATGTCCGCTATATCAGGCTCCTTTTTATCGGATGCATTTAAGTCTAATTCATCGGCTATCGATAGCAACAATTCTTGTTTGCTTTTCAGTGTATTTTGAAAGTGTACCAAGTGACACAGATCTAATATCAAGTCGAGTCTATTTACTTTTTCTGTACACATGGAATTCTCGTAATCATGCGAACTTATTAACCTACTAATATATCTTAGAAAATTGATTTCACCAGTTATGTTGTAACCACGTAGGCCAGACACAAGTTCAAGATCTTCGACTGGAAATAAAATTGTTCATAAGTATGCATTCGTTATCGAATAGTTTTGTATATATAAATTTAATTTACCATTTTTCCAGATCACCGATAAATTGATAATATTTTTCCTAGGAGAATTTGTAATTGATTGGTAAATTAAAGGAACTTCTTCGCTGACACTCGAGTGAATGTAAGTCTGTATTCTAATATCGGTATCCATCCACACCCTTTTTAAAGCTAATGTAGAATAAGGAGGTGTCTTTGGATTTACATATATGATGAGATTCGCGCTGATTGGATCCTGGAACATTTTACAGCAATA